AAATCTGGTTAGTGATTTGGATTCAGCTCGTCGAAAGGAAACGAAAGTGTCTTATTCGCCGAGACGTTTCGCCGCAGCGCGGCTTGAAACACGACGCTCGTGGTACCCGCCAAAAGCGATGTGAAGCTTTGACCGCGAGGTGCGTATGGTTCCGGGGGTCGTAAAACCCTCGGACAGCAACTACTATCCTTAGAATTGACTGTATTTTCATTTAAAATGCGTTCTTGCATACCGATTTATTTTTTGAAACAGCCTACTGGTCTCTCCTCTTTCACGCTGCGCACATAATCAGAACCTTTCCTCTCCTTCACATACACACACTTCGAAAAATAAAAGCATGTTCAAACCATACATCATCCCCCTATTCCCTAACCCCAAGCCTTGAGCCCATCCCCACCATGAAAGCAAATGCATCACAGGAGTACACTGGAAACGCAAGTGTGTGAGTGTCGCTCACTTGTAGGAGTGTGAATAACCATTGATCGCACACCCAGAAAAATCGTTTCTTGTTTCTAGTAAATTTTTCCTTCTTTCAAGTGCACGCTGACACAAGATCAAATTTATTCTTGAAAAAAAACTTATATTTTCTCTCGAAGAAGAGAAAAATCGTATTCCAAAGACAATATTGCATTGTTTCAATGGTGAATTTCATCTTGTGTCAGCGTGCAGTTGAATCTTGAATCAAGAAACATTTTTTTCTGGGTGCAGAGTCTGGTCCTGGTGCCGCTGTCGCCACCGAGCCTGACGACTCTGACCAATCTGACAACTCAGACGCCGTCGACCCCGCCCCTCCTGCTCCCAAAGTTCCGCGGCTGGATAGGTACAGTAAGTAGCGAGTAAGCCCAGTTTCCGGGTGAAAAAAAAGAACAGACCCGAGACCGCAGTAAACTGACTCGTCCAACCGGAGCTGACGTGCATGACCTACGACTGAACGAGCTGAAAGTAGGCAAACTCGGAGCGTCTCGAGCCAACTTGGAGCTGACAGCGAATCAGTTTACATCAGCAAACTATCAGTTCACCCGACGCTAACTGAATGAACCTGAGAGAGAACTGAATCAGCCAAAGACCAGTAATACTCAGTTTGTCTCAGTACCCTAAATCTACTGCGGGGAGCTGTACAGTTACTGAGTCACGCTCAGTTTCTCCATTCAGTTAGCGTCAGTCGCAGTTCAGCTTCTGCTCTGACTGCCCTTGGCTGGACGTCAGCTGAGTGGACCTCAGTAGCCACGACTCAGCAAACAGCAGTTCGATTCAGTACAAATGATCACTACCGTTACCTGATCGTGGTCTGAACCGCCATCAGCTCCCCGAATCAGGTGTTAGTTCTACTCAGTGACAAAAATGTACTGCGTCAAGCTGTACCGTTGCTGAGACACGCTGAGTTTCTTAATTCAGCCAGCGTCAGGTCCGCTCAGTAATACATCAGTTACCCGATCAGTTACTATCAGTTACCTCAGGAGATGGTCAGCGCGACGCAGCTGACGTTCAGTCTTATTTCACTTACTAGTTCAGTTACTCTCAGTTTATCGTCAGTATTTCTACACGTAAGCGTAAGGACGTCAGTCCCAGGTTGGCTTCGAGTTTGGTAAAGTCAGGGGATAGTCAGTTTGATCAGCTTCGGAACAGCTTCAAGTAGTTTAGTTTCAGTTAACGTCAGCTCCACGCAGCTGTATATCAGTAAAATATCAGTTAACCGCAGCCTCGGATCAGCTCATTTTTTAACACGGGCTGTTGTGCGGAGCCACAAGACGAGGTAGACAATAACCTGGCGACGTCGGTGTCAGTGCCACTAGACCATCTACTGCAACACTGGAAGTTGCTGGTAAGGAATGCCTCTCTCCCTCTCTTACGCACAATTCGATTTCCAAACAAAACTTTTTTTTTAATGCATAAGAGCCCATAGCACGGTATGTCTGATATCTTTGAAGGCAGAAGTGGACGCATGACCCGGGCCAGCATTTCTTAGCGTTGTCATCCAAATATAGCCAATTGTAATTTCCGTAATAAGTTAATTCCGTCACCATTTCCTCTCGGTAAAAAAAGGCTTAAACCAGATTATGCGCTGCTGTCGCTCAAAACTTATTTTTAGGGGCAACGTTTGCAACAAATATACAAAGAAAATCCACCATTAACGTTTTTACACTATAGCGAAGCAAACTGACATCTTGTGCTCAGAATAACCCAAGAACAATTTCACCAAGAGGCGCAACAAGCTCACTCCCCAACACTTCAATTAAATTATATTGCTAGGTACTTTTCTTGAGATTTAAAAGAAAAGAATTGAGTCTAATTTTCTCTCATATTTAGCTGTCATGTGCTTATAGCTGCTTGTTACTTGCAATCTTGCTATTCGGCTATTTTTAAAAGAGGAGATGGGCGAAGGTGAGCAGAACGTCCGGTGTTGGTGGCCCAGAATTGTTGGGCAGGGGACCTGCTCTGGCCTGCTCCTGCTAGCTGGGTCCAGCCCAACCCAGTATTGTTAGCCACTGTAAGGGAAGGGGCCCAGTGCGACACTCACTCACCTGGACACAGGTCCCCGTAGCCCAGGCGAGCCGGGTCGTATGGTAGGGTGCCCAGGGAACAGAGGCGGCAGTGCACCCGTTGCACATCACTGCATTATCAGTATGAGTAGTTTTAAGTGTTTCCTCTAACAGTTCAGACGTTAACCTCTGCAGTACGTGGCGATGACAGCTGGCTTACGTTTCAGAAACTTCTTTAAATTGAATTTTCTGGTCGATATATGAACAATAGTTAGCAAGTGGCATTAGCTACACGGTTAGCACTGTTATTTATTTAGCACGCCTTTAGTTTAATCTTGCGTCCATGGCCTGCCGAACGGCATAGCGGCCAGTGTAGTATCCCCGCCCTGTTACGGCAGGCGGGGAGGAGCCGGAAGTCTTAGAACGGCTAATTTTTTATCCATCGAGTAAACCACACCGTTTGTTAACCGTGTAGCTAATGCCACTTCGCTCTATGTGCGACCCACCATGCATTTTATGAGTTCTATGGTGTTCAAACATTTTTGTCAACAGGGATGGAAAGAAGAATAGCATAATGCATTTGCTATTGGTGTCAAATAAACCGATCCTCTGAATCTTACAATTTTCTTTTAAATTTAACAGAGACATATTGAAGTTTGTTAATTTTGCGATTTCTATGGAGTGATACGAAGGTTCTTCGTAGAGTGCTTACAAAGTAATGTTGAAAAAAAAGAAAAACTCGTAGATATTCTGGCTGCTGAACTTTTAAATCACTGAGAACTGTTGGCATTTGGTTCCCTAAAAGTATCGTGGTTTTCAGATCTCTCGTATGGTAAAAGTGTTGTAAAATCAGAAAAAAAAAAATTCCAACAGTGCATTACTTTTTGGGTGCTACTCAATTTTAAGGGATGCTTTGCACAGTCACTATTTCATCAACAAATTTCAAAGGAATTTTTTTCCTCCCGTTGTTAAGTTGTACACCAGATAGTTGAGGTTGGTGGATTGTTTGTAAGATATTTAGACTTTTAACATTAAACGAAATGAAACAACACACACATAGTTTGACCTGATTCTATGTAGGAAAAAGGCACGGCTTTTAGGTTCTATTTCTGAAAACTGCCAATAAGAGTGGCAAGTGCTCAAGTAGTTGTGAACTTAATTCCAGAATTGAGGAATTCTCGATATATTTACCGACCAGCACGCCGCAAGACACACTTTTCGTACTTTTTGTAAACTGTGCTCTGGCTTTTGAAGCCCCCAGGACGAGTGCACTGGTTCAAACTTTTCAGCAAGTCCCCGGTGGCTGGTTTGGAAGCGGATCGTCCCCAATAGTCCTGGTGGCAGGCATTAAAAGTCTTAACAGCCGAATCGGTAGGTTTGAATCCCTTCTGGGCTACCGTGATGCAGGAGTTTATGATTGCAACTTCAGAGGCTCGCGGCAGTGAAGAAGTCTTCGGCTTAGGTAGTTTTGGAGGAAGTTTCAGAGGCAGCCGTCCTCCTTCCACCTGGAACATGGCATCATAAATGTTAAATAGACCTACTGCAAAATGTTGTGTAGATGGGTCTGTAGTGCAAACAATTTTCTTTCCAGCTAGGAAAGAATTTCGCAGCAGCCAAATACGTACTAGTTCTTTCGCAAGAGTATGGGCTTAGCGATTAGCGAAGCCTCTCCAGGGATCACGCGTATTTTTTCCGAGTTTTTCGCGAAGATTTTGGAAAGAATTGGCGAAAATCGTCCAGAATCGGGGAAAATGCGCACATCATGTACTGTACCTGCCTGCAACTGCCGCCGTGCCTGCTGCAGGGTGGCCGATCTTGTGCACAAGCTAGTTGTGCACAGAATGTTTCTACCTTTCCGACGGCTCACTAGGGACGATTGGGGGGAGCGACCCCCCCCCCCTCCCCTCCATTCCACCCCCTTACTCCACGCCCGGCAGGGGTCATTACAAATTATAAGCTGACCGAATAGGCAAACTCACAACACACTAACAGGTTTTATTTTGACGAGTAATCCCACCGCAGATTATCAAATATCTGAGAAAACTGTGGACTCTATCTAGCAGCGTTTGGGCGCTAGTGTGTTTGTTTTCGACGGAAATACGGTGAAAATGACCACGCCGCATAAAAAGACGTACGAGGAGGCATCCAATCGTAAAATGTCAGACGAAGTACCCCCCCAAAACAACACATTCTGAATCAGGAACTAGCCTCGGATTTGCCGTATCTTTCACTGTTTCGGCCCTAGAGGTGGATATATTTAAAACAATAACAAAAAGTTGAGTTTTAAGACTGTTTGACAAACAATTCAAGCTACAAACTGCGCTAGTTCAGTTCTTTTTTATAATATCCTTTAGCAAAGCAGAAGGTTGGGTTGTGGTCACGGTGTTGCCCCGTTACAGTCTTTCCTCATGTATAGGGAGCAAATCTTCAGGGCCGCAAGACCCGCGGAAGCCCGCACACACGCCGCCGGCAGGCCGAGGGGCGAGGGTAGGGTCGCTCAGAGGAAGGGTCATGGTAAAATTTTCCAAGTTTTCATATCTCATTTGGGTGGATCGGACAATATTTGACCCTCCCGAAACGGATTATTCAAAGTTTAACGTCAGTTTCTTGGGCAAAGTCACCTCCACCTCCGCACCTCCACCAAGTCAGTACTAGCATAGTAGTAGGGTATCGAGAATCCTTTCTGTGACGTGTTATCACCCTACCTACAGATAGCTCAAACGTAAAGGGGTGTTAAAGGAATACAAGAGTAGTTACACTTTAAGGGACGGCCCACAAGTACTCACTCCGAACAGTTCGCAGGCCGAGACACGTTTGTCAGGCGGGCCTAGGTTGTTACAACTGCATCTATGTCCTAGGATATTCTAAGATATTATCATAATGGCGAACCAAACCATCTAAAAAAGTATATTTTTGCCACTTTCATTGCTTTATTGAGCTTACTTGTATTTGCAGCGGAGCAGTGGAGCTCTTGTAAAAGTTCTTACATAGGTTATCCATTTAGGTCAGTAACTAAAGGTTGGCAGCCACCAACTTAAAGTTAAATTAGCTAACTAGTTTTACTGAAATAACAACAATGCCAACAAGAAACTAAAAGTTCATACAAAGAAAGAATTGTTATTCTAAACGATTAGTTCTTAGTATGTTCTGCCGCCTGTCCGTGTTTCGACGCGTCCTAACAACTATGTTCTATCGGCAGCGTGCGGAATACACACTGTTCTATCTTTAGCGTGCGGAATACACCATGTTCTATCTGAAGAGCGCCGAATACACAATGTTCTATCTGCAAAACGCGGGTTTCTGGATACCTCTAAAGAAATGCTTATTACTCCGTAACCGCTTGTTCTACTTAACTCTTTGCAGTCAATAATTAAGCATTGGACTTTTACGATTCTTTTTGTGTGCGCAGATTGGCATTTATGTCTTCCAGTTACTTGCAAACCACATAAAGGTGAATGGCTGTACCCAACCCCGTTTTGCAGATAGAACATTGTGTGTTCGACACTCTGCAGATAGTACATTGTGTATTCCGCACGCTGCAGATAGAAGATTGTGTATTCCACACGCTGCAGATAGAACATTGTAGTCAGGACGCGTCGGTTTGACTCAGCAAAATTCCCGTACCAAAGTTGTAGCCAAGAGAGCCATTAGCAGAGCTGCGAACATGGGTGAAGCCATGGCGGGCGTTCGGACGTTCGGACGGCAAATTCCTCTCTGCACAATTTCGACCTTCTGTTTTTTATATGACTGCCTGAGTCTCACGACTTCGGCTCTACCCTTCCAAGCGAAGTAGAGGGGATGCGGTCACGCGGATGGGTTATTCGTATCCTACTTTCAACGAACAAATTCGTTCGTTCGGTAGCAGTGTGATAACGACAAACGTAGAATAAAACAAGGCTCCGTAACTTATCATAACAGGAACGAATGTTTGTTACGGCACTCTAGGTAACAAAACACATGCCAAATTAAAAGTTAAAGTAATCGATTATGAAATTTGCCCGAAATTTAATCGGCACATAGGGTAAGGTGCCCTAATGTGGCCACTGTCTATTGATGGCCACTTTTCTCGATTTCCAGCCAATTTGGTCACATTACAATCTTGGCCTTGAAGTTGTTGTGTTCTAGTAAGGTCCCTACTTGGGCATGATAAGCCAAACTACTTCACATCCTTGTCTACATTTCAAGAAAAAGGGGTGGCCATCATTGGGCAGGCCCATTCTTAAGGTGGCCATCATAGGGCATCTGACCCTAGTATGAAAAAAAGTTGGACAGGTCGAATAACTATCTTCTTTCCAAAGGACTACAGTAAAAATTTGCAAATTCTAACTTTAACTCTTAACATAACGTTAAAGGGTGAGAAGTAATGAGTAGGGGGGGTGCCAATGTCCGCATATTGTAGTCGCCGCGAATCGTAATAGTGCGGGAAAGTTGCCATAGCACATCCAAAAAACAGGGATAAATTTGTTTTTGTGGTTGGACTAAATCTTGGACTTGAGATTTGAGGTTAAAGTCTAACGTTAGGTTCTTATGGGCATTTATGACAAAAACAGAACATTTGGCCTGAACCGCACAGGTTCCGTCACACACCAAAACTAAGGCCATATCCGTGATCTACGTAAGAAACCGATTCTGGAGACGTTCCGCTGCCATGCTCCTCCCTCTTAGTTTCCTAGTTTCCAAATAAATTTTCCAAAATTTAATGCTTTTTTAGTGAAAATAGCTAAATTTACTTATTCTACCACTGTTATTAGATGACTGAGTAAGGCATCTGAAACGTGGTCAGAATCGGTTTTTTTTACGTAGACTACGGATACGGTCTTAGTTTTGGTATATGATAAAGACTGTGTTGTCCACGCCAAGTTTCCTGTTTTTCACTTAAATGCCCATAAGAACCTTATATAAAACTTCAAGCTCAAATGTCATGTTCAAGATTCATTCCGAACGCGAAAATAAAATTACGTCTAGATTTCGGTTGTGAAAAGGCAACTTTCCTGCACTATTACGATTCTCCGACTGCAAAAAAGAGGCATTCACACCTCCCTAGTAATTAGCAGGGTTGTTGACGTTAATTTAACGGGTAACGACGTTACGACGTTTTCGTTAACGTTATTCTAACGTAAACGTAAGACGTTAATTTTATGGCAGATGGGGAAACGTAACGCGTTTGCGTTAAACGGGTCCCGTAACGTGTCGTTACGACGTTGACGTTGAAACAACTTTCCCGTGAACCTAAATTTGAGTAGCTGTTCAGCGAATGTTGTAGTTTTCGTGAGATGCAGTACAAACGCCACGAACGAAGAAAGCCGAGCCTCTAGTTGTGCTAAAACTAAAACTTTGATAGTAAAAGTTATTTTTTCATAATATTTCTCATCTTTAAACAGCCTTCGACTCTTAATTTTCAATATTTTACATTCTTTTTATTACTTTGCATCAACGTCAACGAGGTCATGACGTTTAACGAAACGTAACACGAACGCGTTAATTTTGTCACAACTGTCGAAACGTAACGCGCTGAATTTCAATTTTAACGTGAACAACCCTAAGTCACTGAGCCCTGGAAGAAACCTGGGACAGGGCATGTATAACAAGGCGCTCCTGACAAGTCCGAAAAACACAACTCACTGATAACCAATCAAAACAGCGTAAGTCCACAAACCTAAATTTTACAGGAGACCGTTTAAACATTCTAGATTGAGAAATTCTCATATTATAGATGTCTGCTCCAGATTAGTTTAAAGAAAAAGACATGAGCAAACAGAAGAAATTAGTTTTTTTTCATAAACTTCAAAATTGGCTTTGAAAATGGCGCAAGAGAAGGGTCGAAACAACGAATGTCCAGGACATGCGAGCGAAAGTCCGTGACAGAGCGTAGCAAAACAACGAAAGTCCAGCAATTGGCTGGCACTAGGTAGATGTACGCCAGACCACGTCTCGCGTAACAGGCTTCGCGATATCTCACGAGACAGTGTTACGCTGCGACGCGCCTGCGGCATACATCTACCTAGGCCTGCGGCGCTGACACCCGAGTCGGGAAGCGCAAAAATGTACACAAAGATACGGGCCTTAGGCCCGTTAACTTCCCGTCACTTCGACTAAGAATACAGGGTTGTACTTTTTTCGCTTATTTTCGTCAAAAACTCCCTGTGGCGCCTAAATGGTTTAAGAAAGAGCCAAACGGACGAAATTTTCACCCAAAGAACTCTACTTTGGTGAGGTGCCCCTAGGAATCTCTAAAAAAAATATTTTAAAAAACATTTTTGAGCTAGAATGCTCTTCTTCGAACTTGAGCTGTCTTTTTATGACACAAAACGACCCTGAAAATCCCAGGTCGCTAGCTCAATTTCTCGAGTTATCGTGGCGACAAACACACACACAGACAGACGCGAAACTTTTTCATCATCACTGGAGTAATAGGCTTCGCTAATCGCTCAGCCAATAAAGGCGAATGAATGTCCACGGATTTCGTGGACGTTTGTTGATATGCTAGCACAGACCTGGACTTCCGTTGTTTTGACAAGTAACACCTGGACTTTCGCTATTTTGACAGCCCACATCTGGATGTTCGCTGTTTGACACCACAGATTTAAACTGTCGGTGTAACCAAGCAAAATTAGGTAACATCTTGCTGTCTGACAGATTCAAAGTACAAAGAGACATTTGATCTTTTACATTTGCTAACTTCACTACCAAAACTCTGTTAGTCGTGATTTTTTTCAAATTTACAAAATGATGTTATTGAAAGAGACGGACAATGTTATCAGGACATTTCGGAAGAGACAACAATAGTTCTTATTGTTCTTGCCCATGACAGACATTACTTACTAAATAAATGGAACCAGGTAAGGTTAATCAACACAACACTAATCCACATTGCTGGCAAAGAAAATCTAACAACTCACTGTCACAACATAGGAAAATAACACACGGGCAATGACCACATCCATGCAGACAATTTGTTTTATCAAGGTGTGGCGTGGCGTAGCACTTTGTTTATAAACGATATGAAAACAAAAATAAATTAAGCTCAACAAACCACATGGCCTTTAATACGATATTGACAGTAGTGAGCTGTGATCGATCCTCAGTGCCTCGGTGTTCTTTGAGGACCGGACACTTTGAGGAACGCCCCCTTTCCCTACCTCCTTATCCCTCTAACTGGTCACAGTTACAGTAGCAGCACCTAATGGTGTTCTGATGCATTTCTCATTCGTCAACGACGGTGATCGTGCACTGCACTTTTCTCAAAGCTGAGTGGACATATGTGTCGTAGTCATCAACCTATACAATGACTATTTTGCTATAATGCGCATATGGCTCTGGGGAGTTATTCTTGTGGTAAAAGAATGTTCAAGAAAAGTTCAACTTTTCTGCTTATTTTCAAGGAGCCTGTCAAGTAAGTTGACTTTTAAATACCTGTAATAACAAAGATGTGCCATTTCGATTCCGATCGTCTTGGAGCATAAAATATTTTCGTTTTCTTTTGTCAAGATGGCCCCGAAACAATAGTTTGCACATTTTTCCCGAACCCCGAACCCCCACCTCCTCTCCAACTTACGTACGTAAATACGTAAACCATTCAAAATATCACTTTTGTTCCTTTTCACCGGAAACCGGCGAAACTTTTAAAGTCGAGTTCCGCAACTCTAAAACTACAAATTTCACACTCGGTTTGACCATCTGACATTATGATCACGTGTGAGAAAATCAGAAAGTCACGAACTGGGCGCAAGGAGCCATTTGCGTGTTCGCGCTCTTTTCCACTCAGTGTAGCCACCACCGAAACAACAACATATGAAGCTCCCTCCGGGGAAAAGGGGGCCAAGTATTTCAAATTAGTCCTTTGCGAACAAAAAGGGGAGACTGGGCCTCCCTTAAATTATAGATGTTTAGGCAAACTCGCATTACGTCATCGGTGCAGCCGTTTTCGAGAAAAAGACGAACGTACACACAGACAGACAGACTCACGACCGAGACAACGCCTGACCCCTCAGCAACTTGGACTGAGCTTCGCTCAGCGAAAATAAAGGTACGCACTTGGGACCTCCCGCGTAAAAAAAATTATCCGTGTTTTGGACGCATTTTCGTCATTTTCCACCAGTCTGATAACGACCAGCATACTACGATTATACGACGAAGTATCGAGGTATTCCGTCGTATTCCCCGGGCGGAAGGATCACAAGTTAAAGAATAGTCAAAACTGCAGTGGTCGAACTGCACTCACAAAAACGCAGTTATATCGTAGTCCATCGCCACTCTGAAAACATAAATTTTTTCCATTGTTAAGTGCTTTTCTGAAATGCAGACACTCCATACTAGTTTTGCATACAGACCTGTACACACGTAAGTAGTTACAGACTACAGTTGCGACTCCATTTTGACAATGGTGTGTCAAAATTCGTCAATGTATGTGTAATCTGAAAACGTAGACTGTGTCATTAGATACTTTTAACACATTGGCAACTGTAGTCGTAAACTGCTTCTGTCAGAGGACATTCCTTCCACAGAGCAAACTAGGGCACTTAGCTGATCCATAGTGAAAATGCAGTTCAACTGTGGTTTGACTAGAGAGACCGACGGGCCGGGGCCCTTTCGCACGACATCAAGCTACTGCGCCACGAGAGGTAAGGTGTCGCAGTAGGTTGGTGGTCAGCGTAACGGGCCCCCAACGTCGAGGTCCAAGGTTCAACTCCCGTCAGATTCAGTTCCGAGATCGTCATTCGGTAAGGTTAGTCAAGGTATATTAACGGGCAATTACGAATACGAACAGAG